TAAGCCACAATGAGTTTCAGTGCAGAGCATGAGCTCGAAAGGGTAAAAAAAACGTGCTCGAAACTTGAGTGAGAACAACAAATATGATTTTTTATAACCACAGACATATAGAACAATCTGATCTGATCGGCCGCACTGGACATGACTTTGTTTATATTCACTCTAGAATGGTTGTCAAATTATGATTTTTAAACAGAGGCATGATTTTCCTATCTGGTTATTCTGTCTTCTAATGCATACTTCAATTTCCCCATAATTAGGGAAAAGGTTAGGTAATAATATAAACACAAATGGTACCCAGCATTATTTTAGTTCAGCAAATTTATTTAAAATGGATGTGTAATCTGAGTAGTTTTGGTTAGTGACTAGATTTTACTTTCATTTATTTCTTACTGTAGAGCGAACTTTGGGCACTAATTTTTAAATTTTCAAGAACCAGTACAGTCTTCCATGCTTTGCCAATAAGGAACATTTCGTTATTTTCAATTTTTTTTCTTGTAATGTGTTCTATATTATACAAAAAAAAATACCTTCTATTTATAACTGGCCAGTCGCGAATACCTACACTCTCTATATTATACACATATATTCGGAGTTTTTTTATTTTCTATTGTTACTTTTTTTTTAACATATATTATACGGAATGGATAATTTCGACCCTACAAATTTAATTTAGAGGAATTTTTTTTTTGGTTAGCGGTCTGTTTAAAACTCAATTACCCGAAGATGTCAAAATATAGTGACGAAATATTGAGTAAGGGCAAATGAGTTTATCATTTAAACAGACCGCTACCCGAAAAAAAAAAAAACCTCTAAGGGTCGGTTTATTCACTTTCTGAAAAACTGTTAGGTATGCAAACTGACAGATAAAAACGCAATCTGTAATCCCATTGGTCGGCGAGTTATTCGCCGACCAATAGAATTGTAGAACGGTAAATTTATCTTGCAAATAGTTATCAGTAAGTTTATGTAGAGATGAATAAACCGTGCCTAAATTATATACATATATATACAACGGTCGAAATTTTGCCTACAGGCACAAAATTTGGATTGGTTTTCTTTGCTTTCCTAGCCATACCGATGAGACCTGATAGGTCGAAACGCGTCTATGGATGGAATAGCGAAGAAAATTAATCCAAAAATTTTCTCATTTCTCATATACATATATATTGACCTAGGTATTTCCTCATAAGTTTGTACACTTCTGTATAGCGGGGAGTCTTGAGCTTTTTAAGTTCTTGCGTAGGTGTTTCTTTAATTGTCTTTGGATCTTAAGTTATGCTCATGTATATCATGGCTTTTATTTAGCACAATACTTGTTTTGTATGTTGTAAATTAGTGTATACTGTTCAAATTTTTTATATATATGTCTTATTTTTAAGAATGTATATTGTTTCTAGATGTTTCTAGTGTATAGTAATCAAAGCAACCTAAGGGTTATATGCAAACGTGATTTACTGATCTGATCTCAATATATTAGATACCTACTGTAGTTGAAATTGTCAAGTTTATATTTAGGTTTAAGTTGTTAAGCTTGTTGAATAATGTTATTGTTGTTGAATGAGTTTATTGAAGTTGAATTGTTGAGACTTAAGTTCATTTATGAGGATTTATCATACTTGTTGTACCCTTGATACCAGTGTTGCACACTGTTCAAAGGGTTTCAAAATATCTATTGTAGCAAAAAAGGAATATGTAATATGATATTTTCAAAAAAAAAAAAGAGAATATACTTTATTTTGGCAACTTCAAAGTTTATTTAATGTGCTATCCAATCACCAGCACTTCCCAACACTGAATCAGGTACCTTAGATGCGGTTCAGTTACGCTGTTGTACATTCAATATTTTGCTTTATAGGTTAGTTGATTTTAACATCTTTGAACCTTGATAAGCATACACCACAGAATATTATATTCTAAATAAGGGTACTTCCTAAAAGTAATCAAAATTAAAAAACAAAATTAAATACTGCACAAAAGTAAAAACATAGATATACAGATAACGTACAGAAGTAATCTTAGTTAAAGTCAAGCCGCATAAAAATTCTGATAAAAACAGATAGACAAAGGCATATAAAACGAAAAATGAATAGGAGTCACAGTAAAAATTGCATAAACATTATCATCTTTCTGATTTGTGGCAGGGAGTAGTTATCACAGTCGCAATAGAAACGGTTGTAGTTAACCACCAATCTGTCGATGGAAGCAGTTTGGCGCTAGTTGGTACGATGTTGGCCTTCAAAAAAACAGTTTATGTTGCTTGGTGCGTCTTGAGGAAACTTTTAAATGTAGTAAGCCTCTAGCAAGGCGTCACAGTCGATCATCCCATTACACAGCTTTTAAAGCAAAATAAACATAGCTTCTCTTCTTCAGTGTTCAAGACTTTTTAGTCCACAAAGCATCAGCCTAGTTTCATAGGTTAGTCTGTCTGAAGGAAAATGGTGCTTATATAGAAAGTACTTTGTGAACTTATTTTGAACCCTTTCTAGTCTGCTTTTGTGGATAGTGTATTTGGGGGTCCAAATAGTTGAGCAGTATTCTAGTGTGCTACGGGTGGATGAGTAATACAAATAGCATACTGCTTTGGTATCGATTATATATATATTTAGAATTCCTTTTTATAAAACCTAGCATTCTAAGGCCTTCAATTTTAACGTTTTCAACATGCAAAGGTCTTTCTGGAAAACCACTCAAAATCATTGAATGAGTCGACTGAGGTGAGGAGTTGATTGTTTATGATGTAGTTATAACAATCAATTTGATTTTCACACTTGTAGAAACTGATGGATTTGCATTTTGGAAAAATAATCTTTAGGTGATTGAGGGAACACTAAGATACAAACTTGTCAAGATCATCCTGCAATCGGTTGAGGTCCACAGATACTACCTGAGTGTAGAATTTCAGATTATCAGCGTACAGCAAGACATGAGCAGAGGAGAAGCAGGACGTTACGTCGTTGAAGAAGAGAAAAAACAGTACAGGTCCCAGGTGAGATCCTTGAGGGACACCAGAGGTAACCACTTACTTCACTGGATAGTGTACCACCGACATCAACCCGCTACTGGCGATCACCAAGGTAAGATTGGATCCAGCTGAGATAGTTCCAAATCTGGTGGTAAACGCTGTTAAAGACCTTCCATAAGTCGGTATAAATAGAATCAACTTGATGTCCCTGTTCAACTGAGGTGACCAAAAGGTTCCTTGTAGACTGCAAAGTTGGTTGTGGGAGAACATAGAACATCCTTGGTAAAAGCCATGCTCAATATATCTGTTGTAAGTCGTGAATATCCCGTCAGTTAGAAAATATTCTAGGAGTATAGGAATAGCAGATAGGATGGAAATACCCCGATAGTTCTCGATGTCACACTGGTCCCCCGACTTGAAAATTTGGCAATAGAGAGGAAAGTTTCCAAGCTCCTGCAAAAAAGCCGCCGGCCAATGAGCGTTGGAAAAGTTGACGAAGTGGTGAAGCAAGAGAAGCTGCACAAATTTTCAGCATGACAGCTGGGACACCATCGGGGCCTACTTTCTTTGACGTGTCGAGCTTTTTCAGTTTTCACATATTTTTTAAGTAGTGAAATTTTGGGTATAGAACAAGTAGGAGAACACCAGCAAATTCCACTGGATTCATCCGACTCAAATCCAAAATAGGTACATTGGTATATGCTGATTGGAAGTGATATGCAAATCCCTCAGCAATATCTTCAGGCTTGGTAACTGTTTTCTTTCTAATTTATACTCAGCCTACCACATATATCATGACCACTCAAAATAAGTATATCCCAAGTACTTATTTACCAGGGTTTCAACCGGTTTGCACCTGAAAAGCTTCAAAATTGAATTTATCGAAAATTTTCACAGCTCCGTTAACTTTCATCCGATTTCAACGTAATTGCGCTCAAATTCAAGCCAAATATAATTTCTCTACAAACCTCTGAACTGAGATTTCAGTTTAGTTTCAACAGTTCTGTAGCTGAATAGGCTTCAAAATAGAAAATTTCTTACATTGAAAATTTGCTAAAAATGACATTGAGATATAGTATTTGCCACACGGCTCGTTAATTTCTATCCGATTTCAACACAATTAGGCTCAAATTAAAGCCAATTAAATTCTCGTTCTGAATGATGCAAAGGATGCTCTATTCTTTCATCCTCTGTACCTACGCATTATTTTTTAATTTTATTTAATTCAAGTATTTTTAGTTTTATTATTTGCGAACGGCGATTTGAGTTTGCTTTGTTCAACTGTTTTTACATGGTGTTTTTTGTATTGGAAGTATGGGTGAAAAATTACCCAAAAATTGTGTTTTCATGTAATTTTTCTGTGTTTATTCCATTTGTTGAATAAATCTGAGAAAAATCGTGTAAAATTTTGTTTTATTTTTCAACCAGACCGGCGTCACTGCCTCACAGTTCTGTCAGTACAGGAAATTGCAATGTCTTTTTACCCAACCCTTGTCTCATTTCTACCCAAATTGACTGGTAAATATAAGGCACGACATATTATTTTTACCTTTTACACTTATAAATGATTTTCTTTGTTTGCTTATTTGTCGTTTCTATGTTCATTCAAAATCCATATAGTCATTTTTTGAAAAAATATCTCGGAAAGGAACTCGTGAATAATGGTTTTTTGTCACTTCCAGTTCAACCAGAAATGGTCATATTTTGAGTGGAATGAATGGAATTTGGTTTAGTTTTGCCTATTTTGAAAGACAAATGCCATTCTAACAGTAAGAATTGTTTGTCCCATTTGTTATGTTACTTCGAAAAACGCTGGCTGAAAACATTATAATATTGTCTTTTTATTCCTGCTTCTTTCTACTTACAAGATAAGAAAATAATAATCATACTTAAAAAGATAATTTTCTAATAAGAAATTCTTTGTAACACTTTCACTTCTATGTCATCTAGACTATAAACATATTCGCTTCAACCGTAGATAAATTATCACTATACTCAATTGTTTTGTTAAACAAATTAGATTGCAGTATTTATCAGAAGGTCGAAGAGCAGTCAAGCGTCTGGTTGTCAAATTGAAATGAAAATAATTATATTAATTTTCGGATTTTCTGTGGTTTTTTGTGAGGAAATTCATTATGGGTTTGTCACAAAATATATCGACATGCCATTGGATCATTTCAGGTACAAATTTGGGACTTAAAGATTATGCTTAGGTATATTACAAAAATATTTTTTTTTACAGCTTTACCACAAACACAACGTTCAAATTGAGATACCTGGTAAACGATACTTATTTTGCTGAGGATAAGCCTATATTTTTTTATACTGGAAACGAAGGGGATATTTCAATGTTTGCACAAAATACCGGGTTTATGTTTGAATTAGCAGCCAAAATGGGAGCCTTATTAGTTTTCGCTGAGCACAGGTAAAAAATTTTGAAAACTTTTGGAGTAATTTTTTCATATAGGTATTGTATCGACGTAGGTCAAAAGTTTTCACTTAACTTAAACTTAAAAAAAGCCAAAATAACTATTTTGTGTATTTTTTCAACAAAGCATCTGAAGGTACCAACTCTAATTAGGATGATTCAATTTAACGAAAAACCAAAAAGTTGGATATATTTTTGTACTTTTGGCAATTTTTTTATTTTATTTTAAAGATAAACAATTTTGCCACCTCTTGTTTTGCAGGGTTTATTGTATATTGACTGGACGAAATATCTAATATAATAATGTATAAATATGTAAAATATAATTTATTTTTTCACTTACTAAAAAAAAATATAATATTCCAGGTTCTATGGCGAAACTCTACCATTTGGTAACAACTCTTACACTTCTCCAAAATACCTAGGTTACCTCAGTGCCCAACAAGCATTAGCTGATTATGTTTACCTGATTAACGACCTTCAGAAGCAGTACGTGAATAAATCAAATTCCTTGGAAAAACTTCCTGTTATCGCTTTCGGAGGCTCCTACGGAGGCATGCTGGCTGCCTGGTTGAGGATTAGGTATCCATACAGTGTCATTGGAGCTATAGCCAGTTCAGCACCCGTTTGGCAGTTTCATGGGATCATTCCTTGTGAGAACTTTAATAAAATCGTAACGGACGTTGTTAGGAGCTTGGGATCAGAAATATGTGCGGATACTATTAGGAAATCATGGAATATTTTGAGGCAAGTTTAATATCATTACAACAGCTTTTTGATTCCATTGCCAAAGGGTACATTCAGACGCTCCCAGCGGCTAAGCTCAGCCACTCAGCAGGGAGTTTATTCTCGAAACCAAGGAACAGCGTTCTCATAAGAATGATTGCTCTGTCATTGTCAGTGTTATGTCGGACAACAAAGACAGAAACTTCATTCCAATGAGAACGCTGCTCCCCTGTTTCGAGAATAAAGCTCCTGCTGAGTGGCTGAACTAAGCCGCTGGCACCGCCTGTATGCACCCAAAGACACCCTACCCTGTCTGTGAGACAGTTTTGTTAATGTCAAATATGAGGATAAAGAAAGTCTTATTGAAACTATTGAAAATTCCGTCTAATTCAAAACTTCTCTAGAAAATCGAGTTCAATTCAAAACTCTCCTCGTTTTAAGTCTCCTATTTTTTCGAAAACTCGCTACTCACTTGAAAACTTCGGTAGCGCCGATCGATAAATTGCGGGCTGGAATATTCCTTCAAAGCTGAAAACCTCACAATTTTTTAGAAATATAACGGCTACGGATAAAGGAAAAATTGACGTTTCAACCACTTTTCAACTATGCAAAAATATACAAACAAATGACGACATAGAAACTCTTCTCAACTGGCTTTCTGAAATTTATGTCGATATAGTTATGGTAAACTACCCATATCCCACCAGCTTTTTGGTGCCACTACCCGGACACCCTGTGAGAGAGTTTTGTGAAGGTTTGGATAGTGTCAAATATAAGGATGGAGTAGGTCTTGTTGAAGCTATTGCCAAAGGATTGCAAATTTATACTAATTACACTGGAACCACTAAATGCAATGACATTTTGCAAACAGCGGGGCCAAATTTAGGAGAAAATGGCTGGAATTTCCAGGTAATGCTTTTTACACTCATAATTTTTTTCTGGAAATAGTTTTTTCCTAGAGCTGTACGGATATGATTATGCCTATGTGCTCTACAGACACTGACATGTTTGAAAATTCAGCTTGGGACTTTCAACAATTTTCTGATGACTGCTACAAACAGTTCTCAGTGCGCCCAAGAAACGAGGAAGTACCAATTTTGGAATTTGGAGGAACCGAAATAGAAACTGCATCAAATATTGTTTTCAGCAATGGTTTACTGGACCCATGGTCGAGCGGAGGTGTCATAAAAAACATCTCTTCCCAAGTTTTGTCGATTCTTATTCCAGATGGGGCGCACCATGTCGATTTAAGAGCCGCAAATCCTCTTGATACTGAAAGCTTTAAAACTGCCAGACAATTTCATGAAAAGCAAATAAATAAATGGCTGGATAAATTTTATTTCAAGAGTTTGCCGTTGGAAGCTTATGTGTCAACAGTTAACAAAATTTAGGTCATTTTATTAGTGCAAAAAATGATATCCTATAGTTGTAAACTTTCTAATGAATATTAATTTATTCTAGTTTTAACGATTACTGATCAGACACATTCACGTGGTAATTTCTATTGTCAAGTAAGTAGGTAACTGTCTGGGTAGGTAGGTACATTATTTATATCTTATCGAATACTTAATAAAAAATCATACTTTGAAACCCTTTGTAAGTAAATATTAAGACTCTCCAAAGTTTGAATTAAATTTGAAAGTTCTAAATGAAGCGAGAAAAGATGAGTCAGTCTTGTCTCAACATTTCCCTGATACTAGCGGTTTTTTAAATTTTTGATTAACCCGCCGCAATTTCCCAGAAATCCATCATAAGTGCCAATGCGTTGTTCAAGAATTTTCCACAAGCGAATTCATGTGGGATAATTTTTGACTACAATATCAAGTTTAGTTTTTTAAACAAATCTTGTAATAATAAAAAGTGTTTTAAAAAAAAAACACTTATGTTTCAATCAATATGTTGATCAATACCTAAAACAATATGTGAATCCTTGAAAAATAAAACATAATATGTTTTAACACATACAAAACTGCCTTTATTAACTTAAACTAGAGAAAAATTCATCACATATGAATAATTAGGTACGAGATTACAATACCAGTAAAGAAAACATTAATAACATCAAAATAGCCTGCTTTACTTTTTTTTTTTTTTAAATTTGCCCTACCTATATTAACAAATATATATTCACAGACACATCCTGAAAGAGGAGAGTTAAATTAATTTGTGTGATGATATTTGCACTTCAAATAAGTAGGTAACACTACTGGAAACAAAATTGATACACTATTACAAAAAGTTCAGGTAGCAATACATACTTGTATACTTTGCAATGATTTGTATACAACTTAACTTTCCTCAACACATAAACTTTTCAGGGAATAAAGGCCACTAAACCGAATACTCGAACTCATTTTCTTATACGATGTTTGCCAAATTACGTAAAATCTTTCGAGACAATCTCTTAAAACGGATTTTGAAATAACAAAAGCACCTGGAAGTTACAAAACTGTTTGCTTACCTATTAACCTACATCAAGACATGCCTAATCTGCCTTTAGACAAAACACGGTCATATAGATGAGTTTACAAGCCTTAAAATTATATTGAATAATATGTTTTGTATGATATGCTGTTACAAAGGTGCTATAATCACTTAGAAAACTATGCATTTTTTTTTATTAAGTTTTTTTTTAGTTCGCTCTTAGTAAATTGTTGGTCCATTTATTGCCCTACCCGACACAATCTAAAACTTCACTTCCTTAATCCATTAATATCATTAATATAGAATTCAACCTTCTGTTGAAAATGTTTAATGTTTGATTAGGTTTGTCTCTACTTCTGTTTATTTGGTAATGCTGGTTTGGAGTAAAACTGACAAACTGAGATAAGAAGGCCAATAAATACGTTCAAGAATATGTTACTATGCTTAAATAATATAAACACAAATTATCATAGTATTTTTCTAGTATGACCCTAATAAATACATTTACCTATTAATGTCCGTTTATCTTCTTTTCAGTTGTGGTGGCTAATATTAGAGTGTGCTGCCCTCCACTAGATACTCTCATTACTTTTTTATCTTTGAGCTGTTTGCTTTCAATAGGGGTAGGTTCGAATGCATCCTCATCATTTCCTAGTCCTAATTGACCATTTGTTCCCATGCCCCAGCCATATAGTTGACCTAAAATATTAACAAAATCATTATAATTTTCAGTATTTTGTCCAACAACCCTTATTACCTTTGTTTGATACAGCAAATGATGTCATAGAACCACAGGCAATGTTCACTACAACTGTTCCAGTCAATCCTTTAATTTTTGTTAAAATGGTAGCGTCCTCACAATTTTTTCCCAAGCCTAATCTGCCATATTCTTTCCGGCCAATGGCATACACTTCTCCATCTACAGTCAATCCTAAAGTATGATGCATTCCGCCTGTAATATGTTGCCACTTGTATTTAGAGAAATCTTGGCTTCTTTTTGGCAGGTATTGTGCTTCAACTTGACCCAAGCTTATCTGGTGGAAATTGTTTAGACCAAATACATAAATATCGTCCTTATTTGCTACTTTAGCAAATGTCCCAGAAGTACTGGCCCATATGTTGTCGAAGCGAAGTTTTAAACTTGGTTTCAAGCTTATTGGTGCAGGGTTAACGAAGGTTTTGATGCCATCACCATTTTTACGTATTTCCGCTCTGTCACTGCTTCTCTTTGTAGTCCTACCTAATTGCCCTTGTTCAGCACGGCCACAAGTCCAAACTTCTCCAGTGTCGGTTAAAAATACCAAATGGTCATCGCCAGAGGCTATTTTTACAATTTTTTTTTGTTTTATTATTTCAATTGGAAGACGTTCGCTGCCATTAACTGACAAACCCATACCACCATGACAATCTCTGAATGTACCCCAAGCAAACACACGGCCGTCATCCATTAAAGCAGCACTATGCGAGTCACCAGCTGATATTTGTATGACCTTTCCTGGTATGGCTACTTCTCCAGGAACAAAGGAATCATCCTCGTCCTCAGTTAATCGTCCCAAAGTTCCTTCGTCGTTACATCCGAATGTTAATACTTTACCTGCTTTGGTTAAGCATACAGTATGCATTCCACCAGCGTAAATATCAACTATTTCATGCTTTGAAGTAACCAGGGCGGGTCTAGATTTTTCAAGAATATCAGGACCTAGGCCTAACTGACCTACATCTCCTGATCCACTAACCAGTAAGACCCCTTCTGTTCTTAGTTCTGGAAGTTCTATTTGATTGAAGTTGACTGAAAATGAGCGAAGATGTTGATACATTTAAGGAAACAATATTATTGTATCTACTCACATCGTCCTTTTTTATTATTTATTATTTGGTTAGTAGTTTTTGTTGGTGTTGAACTAGGATGTTTCCTTTTATTTGGGGCCATTTTTTTAAATTTTATTGAGCAAGTACTTTATTGACAAAAACGAAATCACAAACACAAAATCAAAACACAAATTATTAGAATAAAGGTAAAACATTAACAAGAAGGGTAACCTAATGAATTAAGGACCATTGACTAGACAATTAATAAGGAAGGTAGATAACAGCCTTCACTACACCACAGCGAGATAAAAAAGTTTTCACTTTTATAGGAATTATGATAGAAAAGCCATAAAAACTTGATAAACAAAAATTCGCAGATGAGATGTCTGAAATGGGGTTATGATGTCAATGTTGCCGCCTTTAGTTGTATTCCTTTCACACCTAGGAGGAGCTCCGGAACAGCTCCGGGGCTTCACGCCCTTATTCCTTTCGAAAAGTGTTTGTTGCACCACGCATCTGTTCCCTGCAAATCGGGGGCTTCTAAACACCGGAGCGAGTAGCTCGAGTGTTTCAAACTCTTGAAAGGAATACAACTTTTTTTCTGCACTCATTTTCAAATGGAGTGTAAAATCTTCACTGAGTGCACCTGCAAAGAAAATCGCAGAGTCATACATTTCGAGAGCCCTGAGCAGCGTAGAGCAGTTGAGAGCTGCTTTCCAGTGCCTGAATTGTTAGAGTATCATGCTCCTGGAGTGTGACGCTTTTGAACTGTTCGACATAAGCAGCACTGCAACGCTCTCGTCTTAACCCCCACCATTTTGGACTTCAAGAGCATGGAACGCCGAAATAAAGGTTGGTGCACGAGGAGGCAGGGGATAACAGAAATGAGTAGTTCAAGTGTATGAAACTCTAAGCACTGGAACGCGCGAAGCAATTGTGGAGCACTCCTGAGCTGCTCAGGAGTAACTCAAATGGGTCACTGGAAAGCACCTGAGGACAGTTGAGATACAGCAGATATAAGTTGTATTCCTTTCACACCCAGGAGGAGCTCCGGAACAGCTCCGGGGCTTCACGCGCTTATTCCTTTCGAAAAGTGTTTGTTGCACCACGCATTTGTTCCCTGCAAATCGGGGGCGCCGAAACACCGGAGCGAGCTGCTCGAGTGTTTCAAACTCTTGAAAGGAATGCAACTATTAATTTTCTGAACGCGCGACACTTCTGCGCCTGTCTAAAGCGTAAGTTGAGTTACCGTGCGTTCGTTACTTTGATCCGAGTTCTCCGAGCTTGAATTTACCGTTCGTTTATTTAAAAAGTGTACTCGATGCAGGCTTATTCGCGTTGTTTATTAAAATTTCTGGTATTCTGATACAGCGTCCAACTGCTCTGTTCGCTCGCTGGTCACGTAATCACGGCTCCGCTCAGTACGCTCTGCTCTTTAAGCAAAATACCGAACACAAGGTTAGTAAGCGTGAATTTTTTCCCGCTTAGAGAAATCGGCAGCAGCTGACAAAAAGCTGCTTTTGCTCAGCGCCGCTGAACGCGATTGTGTTTTCAACTACTCAACTGTTGGAAACAGTTGAGTAGTTGAGAGGGGTAACGCCCCGGAGCTGTTCCGGAGCTCTTCGTAGGAGTGAAAGCAATACAAGTATTGATCGTAAAACTGGTCTTCAAAAAAAAACTAAATCAAAGAGTGCTTTGAGTACGAAAATGTACGTCGCGTATTGTTTCTTTTTTGACATTATATTAGATTCAAGACAAGAAAAATATTCCGACACACAAATAATACAAACTACTAAGGGCGGGTATTATAAAACTGCTTTGACAGTTAACTTAAAGTTAACTTTTTGAATTACATGTATTTTCAGAAGTTAACTTTAAGTTAACTCTCAAAGTAGTTTTATAATACCTTAAAATCGGGTGACTTGAGACGATTTTGACTTTCAGCAAGCGATATTTTCGAAACTATTTAACTTAGCGATGACTTAAACACGTCAAAAGTTGAGTCTTAACCCGTAGAATCGGTTTTATAAATTGAGTTTTATGTGAATAACAAGTTACCCAGGGTTTTTTATTTTTTTTTGACTGTCTCATGTCGGACGCTAGGGTGGGTTACTTGAGACAACCATATTTTTCAAGCTTTTGCTCATGTTTCAAGCTAAAAGGATAACTAGACAAAAGAAACGTTTTTTAAAAGGTGGCTATTGACTCCTAGCGCAAGCAGGCTTGATATTGTCACACCAACGAGTGTTTGAAATGTGACAATGTCTCTTTAAAAAAAACCGGACCCAATCTTTCCCAGGCAAGTTATTTTTTTTGAATTTTCGATCACCCCGTCCGTCTTTATGACTTTACTAAAGGTTTTAAGTCGTTACCAGTGATTAGAAAGCCCCAACGGCAAGCAACTTCTAAATTTTCCACAAAGTCTCTGCTCCTCTTCCACTGTAAAAACTATTTGACCACCGGGATTTTTTTTTTATTGAGATTATTCACTTTTCGTTGAATGGTGCACCTGGAAATGCCATATTTTTTTGATAATAATCGATAGGATTTACTCGTTCTTCAATCGCTGGTTTCAACATTCCGCTATCATAATCAGCATAGGTCCTGCAGCCAAGTTTTTTTTGTTTGTATTTTCCCATAATAGGCTGATAACACCATAAAAACAATTGAAACAGGCACATAATAACACTCTGAATAGTTTTGGGGAGACTTAAGTCTCAAGTCACCCGCAACAACCGCCATTTTACCTTTTCATATAATATATATTTTTTTTTTTAAAAAGGGAAAATAGCTTACTATGTTCCAAAAGATGCACAAAATATCAATCTATTTCTGAGTAAAGTTTCAATAGGCAGTCCTAGACAGTATAGAGACAGTATGCAAAGTTATTCAGCTATTTCTAAGTTCAACAATTACATACATGCCTAAAAAACTGCACAAAAATTAACTTATCGTTTCCGAGGTGGTTCAAACATTACTATAACACGTCTTGACAACCCTTAAGTCGAATAAATATGTTTGGCGCGCAAATGCGTCGGATATATTATTGCCAGGTATATAATTGGTTTCCTCAAAAGTTTTGTCTCAACTCGCCCGGCTGTCTCAAGTCACCCAGTTTGACGGTACCCGTAACGTGAAAATGCATTACAGTTAAAGCACTTCTCCTATACTTTTGTGTTATCTGGGAGTGGTCCAACTGCTGTTCTTTGTTTATACAGTGTGACATAATATGGGAATTTTTTTAGTATGACCAAATTTAGAGTTTCTGGACAGTTTTTGCTTTGGCTTGACGTGTGTAAACCTTTATAAGGTACTGACATCAATAAACAATTTGATTTGAATTTGAATTTTATGCAAAATGATATTGATTCTATCATATAGTCTAGTCAAGTTTTCCAAAAATCAGAATTTTAGAAGCATTTCATATTACTTTTGAGCAAAAGGCTTTCTCTCCCTATTTAGACACCACTAAGTAGAGGCCTACTCGGAGTGCTGCCTGCCTGTCGCTGCATATATAAATATGCTTGCCCGAGTAACCTCCTCTGTAGATTCTCCTGAGCACACACCTGTATGGCGTAGATCTCAGTCTGGTATCCCGTTGAATATCGACCCGGAGCAAGACTGATTCTCGCCAAAGCTCTCTCTCCATATACACCAGCCCCTGCACCCTCTTCCATCAGAGACCCTTCTGTGAGCCAGATGAGCCCTTTCGGCTTGAGGAAAGTTGGTGCCAGCCCATGGGGTAGTTTTGAATGCTCCAGTTGTAGCCATAAAGGCAAGTCGTTGGGGGTTGTCCAGTTTTGCCCTGTTCGTGGATTTTCTAAGGGCGTCTCACCAAATTTAGCTACCGTACGTGATAATCTGGCCTTATAGCACTACCGTGTAAAAGCCAGTACGTGGACAATGTGAGGATGTAACCCGGCCCCTTGGCTCGTCCGATGGAATTTCTACCAGGCCCAAAGGCTAGCAGTGGCCCTCTGGGCGACCTTATTGACGTGATCTTTCCAGGTCAGCCTGGAGTTAACGATGATTCCTAGTAAGTACGAGAAAGAGCAAGTCTCGATCTAAAGAGCGTGAGCCCTTCCAGGCCCACGTTTCGTCACTTTGTGAATGGTACTTCTTCGGTTTTGTCCGGATTTACCGAGAGCCCGTGATTATTACACCATCTATCGACCATGTTAAGAGCTCTTTGCATGATCTATTTTATCGTGCTGGATACCCTACCAGCCACGACGATGACAAGATCGTCTGGGTAGCCTTGAGTGTACATACCTTCCTCCTCCAGAGTGTGGAGTAGCCTATCCAGCACTAGGAACCGGTGCGGCAAGGGCGATAGTACACCCTCCAGCGGGCAACCTCTGGCTACGGACTACGGTTGATCTGATCTTCGCACTTCCAATCGAACTTGTAATGATTCTGCCTTTCAGCATGACACAGATCCATTTGACAATGGCGTTCTTTATGCCAAAGCTTTCTGCAGAATTTTTTATCGAGTCGAAGGAGGTGATTCGATGTCTAAAAATACCCCCAGAAGCTGGGCAGAAAACCGATAATCCGTTATCCGTTAATTAGCGAAGTTATAAAATATTGCTCATTTAACTTTTAAGTTAACCTAAAAAATATTAACGGTTTTCTTAACTTCCGTTACATTGGACTTCCGTTAACTCTAGTCCGTTACGTTCATAAATGACATCATTCGAGGCCGATAAGCAATCCTTGTAGGTGTGTATCATCCTTGGGTCTCCATTTCTCTCGATTGTCCTAGTAACAAAAGGGTAGTCACCATGTCTATTTCAAATTCTAGCAAACTAAGTAGCTGTGATCTCTGTGGACAGACAGTCTCTTCTCTTTTGTAGAAAAGCTCAATTGTATTAAAATAAATCCAACAGATGAAAGAAAATCTTCAGGCAAAACTTTATTCACCTACCACATCTTGCTTCGAAATACTGTAATAAGATAGCGTATCTCTGCTTGACAAACTGACGCCAACGCCGCGCCGGTCAAATGCACTGCTTTATTATTTTCCACCATAGTCGTGTCGTTTGTCAAATATTTGAAAAACGACAGCAAAGATAATCCTACTTATCTTTGACGACAGTCAAATATGGTGGAGGGTAGTCTCTCATAGTCTCATGAGTTGTTATGCTCTTGTGTGGTGATTAGAAAATACAAAAAAAATCTATGTTTAATAAATTAATTATGTCAATTTAATGCGCTCGCCATAAAGTTACGAGTCACACAAATAACAGATTCCTTGACTGAATCTAACCATTCAGTCTCTTCATACGGTATGAAGAGACTTCTAACCATACCTAGGAATGTCTGATATATTAAAATAAATCGTTTGAAAATTATTGGAAATAAAAGTA